TAGCACAATTGTGCAACGCGAGATGCAGTTAAAATTCAAATATGAAAATACTCGACAATGCTTTGAGAGCGGATTGTTTGGGGCATCAAATTAAGCAGATTAACACTGCAGCAACACTCTTCTGGTGTTTGCAAAAGTGAGGCTGTCCCGCGGTTTACCTATTTCATTTCACCTTTTGATTAAAAGAAAACATCATCCAGAGCTATAAGTGTTACAAGCGTACCTTAAAGTGGGCTGACACTCTTCACTGAAGAGCTACTAGCAGGGTCCCTCTTAGAAAAGTGCCCTTCCTGTTTTCTTCAAACATCACTGTTCTCAAAATGATATCACACTTGCGTGTTACCACATACTTTAAAACTATGTGTTCACTGCGAATTTTGAAGCTCTCTCTAATCTGCAATGATGAAAAGATTAGTTTGCTGTACCAGTTACTTAGCAACAGCCGTATCAGTGTATTATAGCACTAAAATGGCCCCAAAAGAAAACAGAGCTGTGTAAGCTCTGTTTAATCACTGGCTCTGGATCAAACTCCGGTGTAATGCTTCTCTGGAAAAATGAGATCCTTAACCGAGTGCGTGGGTGTGCAATTGTTTGGTCCGTCGATACATTCTGTAATTTGATGCTCAAATGGTTTTCTCATAGCGTTGCTCTCAGAGAGAAGGCGCTCACTTGGTCAGTCTGGACAGTGTACCGGAGTTAGGAGCATTCGTATGTAGGGTAGCTTATGTATTCCTGTGTTTATGTCCTTACTACTTCAAGAAGGCCTGTCAAGTGGCTTGGGTTTGGATACAATACTGGAGAAAAGAGTGGAATACTTAGCAGCTAAAGAGCTACTCTGGAGTTGGCGGAGACCAAAAGAGAACTAAAACAGGAGAAAATATTTTACTTTTGTCAGGCAGCCATGAACATCAAATATCTGGTAAATGAAGCTGAAGCCTGGAGATGGTTGTCCATCAACCATGACAGTTGCCTGTTATTTAGTTTGATTGAAATGTTGTGCTATGGATAGAATAAAACTTCACATTCATTTGATATTTACATTTTGATGTGTCACGATTAAGACTATAAAAAAAATGACACTTATCGTTTGTGTTCCCAGTGGTGTTAAGCTGTTTTTTAATCTCCACTTTTAATACACGTCTATATCTCAGATCTCTGCATATCAAATTCATTGAATGCCCAATCCCTCAAATGAACAGCAAATGTGCTGCTGCATTGATAACAATGATATACTGCAAAACAAACAGTATTTCATACAGTAGCCTGTAATTATTCTTCCTACATATAGATTTTTTAATAAAACAGTAATTACTGAGCGAAATCCCGGTTGTCCCATTATATGCTCGGCACAATATGAGAAGATGATTAATCACGCAAACAGTTGCTCATTTTAAACACATCCTAAATGCTTCCCCCTGCCTCGGGGGACTACATATCACCTCTCTTCCACATCCTGTGCTTGATGAAGGTATGAACTTTTTACATTGCTCTTGGACTCTTGTTACGTAACAGAACCACTTGTTTGGGGTGTAGCTGTCCAAAAAGTGTGTGTGTGTGTGTGTTTTGGGTGACTGAGGCTATCTCTGCGGGAGTCAAATCTGAAATAGGGTCAGGTGATGTTGTAACTCACCCTGGTTCACCTCCCACTGCACAGAAAGCACAGTAATGAATTCAGAGTCAGGGACCTCGCACATCCTGCCGCTGCACTCCTGCCTGCTCCTGTTGTCAGTCCTTGTTCTATCCTCACCAGCCCTTATCTGTTCATCCTGCTCTCCTCAGAGGAAAATGGCTTTCGTGTATGCCTCTCTCAATCTCTGCTCCTTCTCTATATTTTACCCAATTTCCAGGCACCAACTGTCAATCTTTCCCTCTTTACAATGTCATTCTACTTTCGGCCTCTCTTTGTTCATCTCTTTCGCAGCGTGGTGCACGGAGTACAGCTGGACATTAATCTGCCACTGAGGAGGCGCACTCACCAGACAGCTCACGGCTGCTTATCAGGCATTGGGTAAGATTAGGACGGTCACTGGTGCCAGTACAGTTTCAGCAAGAGGACAATGAAAAGACTTTGGTGAAAACACTGTCATTAAACTTTCACATGACTTGTGAAGACCAGAAGTCCATCCTCATTGAAAACAATGAGAGAAATGGCATTTGTTTTGTGTTCATAGTACGATTCCTTTGATACATTTCTCTAAAATGAAGTATCACTACAGCGATCCTCTAAATCCCCTGCTTGTCTTCTTTCTTAGAACTTTACTTTGAGCTTTTTTTTCCTTTAATTATAAAGTGTCAGTTCACACCCACATCTGTTGTATATATAACTCCACAATTATTGTAAAGCTAACAGACAAAGCATATGGAGAACATGTCATTTTTACATTAACCTTTTTGTGTGCGTTTTTAGGTATCTAGGACTTCTTAAGCTCCATGGTGACACACATTACGCATCTTACACAACAAATAAAGACAAATGTCAAGGGCACACAGTTTATCCTTCCATCCATCCATCCTTGTACACGCATCTTGTTTTTGTACTGAACAATCTCAACTCAGTACTTAACCTCCAATTTGCATAAGCCATTATGGCTGAGGACTGAGGAGGCTATAAATTCTGCTAAGTGTACATCCATCGCAAGTTTAAAAAAGCCCGACCAATTTTTACATTTCTTTGACTAATGGAGACAGAAAGAGCATCCATCGCTGTGAAATCATTAATACATCTGATGAGCCAAGCAGTTTCTACTTAATTCACTTGAAAAAGCAGCACCTGAATCTGTCGTAATGTCAGTGATTCTACATTTATTCTGATATTTTTTTTTACAGTATTCTTTCCTTGGCCAGTTTAATCTACTACAGAAATGATTATTTAAACCCTCTGGGAGAACAGTACTTTCTTATTGAACACATTCTCCTCTCTGCCCGCATCAATTACAGCAAATGTTTGTTCTGCCGAATGGGAAGCAGGGGTATCTCTCCTGCTCCATCAATAAACAGAGACCAGAACAACACTGATATCACTGCAGTGAAAACAGGAAACTCAATAGAAGTGCTGCCGCCTCTTTCAGAAAAACATAGATTTTCCTCCAGCACTCCTGACAGATGCTGAAGTTAAAGTCTTCGTGCACAGCTGGGACTCTGGAAAGCAGGCCCGACTGTGGCTCTGCATGCGTCTTCTGTGTAGGTTTGCGTTCTGCAGGCCAGTCATCAATGCCACATCAAAAGAGCTGAGTTGACATTCTTGGGTCATTGGCGGCAGACTGAGACGGAGTGGAGGTGTCCTTTTTAAATGATAAAACACAGGTGAGGCGAAGAACTTTGAAAAGATGAAGCTTTCTGCTGACTAATGCAAGTAGAACAAGCTTTCAGAGAAACATCTTGCCAACAGAAACTAATGTTGGGAATCCAAGACAGAGATTGCGCAAAAGATGGATAAACTATTTCTGTCATCTTTGGTCAGATTTTATTGAAACGGAGACATTGCATTCTATTCAAACTGATATGTTGTGGATGAACTGGAAAAAATACGCACCCCCATTACCTTCCATGCCTCTGCTGCTTGCACACAGACAGTTGCATGCATGCTTGCAAAGTTGAGTCTCCCAAAGTTTTGTCATTTACTCCTAAAACTACCACCACATCGTTAGAACCGCAGTCATAGCACACACACCTTAGGCAACTGAATTGAACTTATTGTCAGTCCTCCAATTAAGGCACACAGCTTGCAGAGCTCAGGGAGGGAAGAGTGTGGGAGGTTCCACTTACTTTCCTCATCATCGCTACTTGTACTTTCTGCACCAGGAAGTCGAATGTTAAGCAGGCGGGTTTTTCTAAAATCTCCGAGCTCATTTGACATGAAGTGCATCTCCCCACTTGGCTCACTCAACACTTCCATAATAAGTCATTATCTTCAGCACACATCTTTCTGCTTCATTTAAGCCATTCTTAACAAGGGGTATCTATCACAGAGGTGCTACTATTCTGCGGTCGCACTGACCTCCAGCGCTCTGATTTATTCCCCACAACCTCCTTAGCTCTGTCTTTTGCTTTTCGCTGCGGGACAAAACCGCCACTGTGGACCTTTTTTTAATTATGAAGACATAATTTAAAACTTCATCAGTCCTGGGTGGTTGCCGGACAGGGTGACATAAGCAGGAGGCAGGTCATTTATTAACTGGAGATGAGGGCAGGTAAATAAAGGCAGTAGAGCAGTGTACTTCAAGGTTTTAAAATGATTCA